TATGGGCCACCAGCATTAAGCAATGAATATTGTTAACAGTAAGCAGGAGTGAAATAACCACAGACATTACATTTTCTTGCCAGGCACTGGTGGTTCATGCTTATAATCCTAGCTACTCAGGACATTGAGATCTGAGGATCATGGTTCAAAGACAGCCTGGGTAGGAAAGTCCATGAGACTCATCTCCAATGAACCACCAGAAAACTGGAAATGGTTCTGTGGCTCAAGTAGCAGAGTGCTCACCTTGAGCAAAAAAGCTCAGGGACAGCTCCCAGGCCCTGAGTTCAAGCCCCACAACTGAGCCCCAAAACATTAATTTTTCCCTTGAATATTTTATTCCATGAAAGTAAAAGTCACATGCACGCAAAAGATAGAAGCTAAGAGCTACAGCCTTTATTTTCCCACAAGAATTTCCCATAAAGGCCGGGAGCCAGTGGCTCACGCCTGTAATCCTAACTACTCAGGAGGCTGAGATCTGAGAATCGTGGTTCAAAGCCAGCCCGGGCAGGAAAGACTGAGACTCCTATCTCCAATAAACCACTAGAAAACCAGAAGTGGCGCTGTAGCTCAAGTGGTTGAGCACTCGCCTTGAGCTGAAGAGCTGAGGGACAGCGCCCAGGCCCAGAGTTCAAGCCCCATGACTGACCAAAAAAAAAAAAAAAAAATTCCCATGAAGAAATAATGTATCTGAATGAAATCAAAACACACTGGACAAGAACTCTAGGGTAAGAATGTTTATTTTCTCAGTCCTCCAGGGAAACATCTGTTGCTCAGTGGTAGAACAATCTAGATTTACCTGTTGCTACTCAGGATGCTGAGATCTCAGGATTATGGTTTGAAGCTAGCCCAGGCAGAAAAGTTCATGAGATTCTTTTTTAATTTTACTTTTATTGCCAAAAGATGATATGCCATTGGAGTTGCAGCTACATAAGGTAGTAAGTACATTTCTTGTCAAACTTGTTACCCCTTCCCTCATTTTTCTCCCACTCTCCCTCCCAATCCCTGCCCCGCCACCCTCTCCAGAGTCTTTTTTCTTTCTACTCTACCACTTGAGCCACAGCACCACTTCCAGTTTTCTAGTGGTTCATTGGAGATAAGAGTCACAGACTTTCCTGTCCAGGCTGACTTTGAACCCCAATTCTCAAATCTCAGCCTCCTGAGTAGCTAGGATTACAGGCGTGAGCCACCAGTGCCCAGCCTCCATGAGATTCTTAATCTCCAATGTATGTGTGTGTGTGTGTGTGCACACGCGCGTGCCAGTCCTGGGCTTGAACTCAAGGCCTGGGCACTGTTTCTGAGATTTCTGTGCTCAAGGTGAGCATTCTACCACTTCCATCCTACCACTTTATTTCCAGTTTTTTGGTGGTTTATCAAAAATAAGTCTCACAGACTTTCCTGCCCAGGCTGACTTTACTGAGGTCTTCAGATCTCAGCCTGAGTAGCTAGGATGACAGGTGTGAGCCATGATACCCAGGTTTAAAAAAAAAAAAAGCCAGAAGTGGAGCTGTGACTCAAGAGGTAGAGCATTTAGCTTTGAGCAAAGAAAAGCTCAGGGAAGTGCCCAGGTCCTGAGTTCAAGTCCCAGGACTGAACTGCACCAAGAACAATGTAGCTCATCCACGCACTGGCCCAGTGCACTGAAGCTCCTGCACCCCCATCCACCATTTGGGTGAAATAAATAGAATAAACAGGTTCAGAACCGTCCTGGGTCTAGGGACAGCGGGACAGGAGAGAGGCTGGCCATTAGGTGAAGAAGAGATCTGGGAAGAGCTGAGTGTTGGTGGAGTTCAAGTCCTCTTGGATCAGGGCCAAGATGTCTATATCCTCAAGGAGATCATCAGGCACTTCTTTGTTTGGGGCTAGGGCTGGGGCCTGGGCCTGGGTAGAGGCCTGGTTCAGGGCCTGATCAGGGGCCTGGGCTGGAGCAGAAGCAGGGGCAGGGGCCTGGTCTGGGGCCGAGGCCAAGTCCTCCATTGGAACTGGAAACTCAGCAGAAGCACTGGCTGAAGCAGCTGCTCCAGCTGGGGCCTCCAGCAAGCTGTACCCCAAAGCACTCTGTGCCTGGCCCAGGCCGGAGCAGGTAGGCTCCACGGGTGGGCAGGCGAAAGGCCCGGGCACCGGGGCGTAGGGGCAGCAGCCTGGGCCTCCGGGGTCCCCACCGTCCCAGTTGGCAGAGGCTGGCATAGGCCAGGCCGCGGCGGGCCCCCAGCTCGGGGCCGGGTATGAGGGCGCAGGGGGGGCGCGGGGGGCGTCCTGTCTGTCAGACAACTGCTCTTCTTTTCTCTGCTCATTCCGAGCCTGCTTCGCCCGACGGTTCTTGAACCACACCTGCAGGGGGGGGGGCACACAAAGGGACCCTGAGATGGGCGGGGGGAAGGGGGGCAGGGGAGAGGGGGGCAGGGAACTCAGACCAACCTTAGGCCCCGGAGGGAGGCCAGGGGGGTCACCACAGCACGGGGTGTGGGGAGGCTGGCGTGAACCCCAGGATCCCCTGTGGAAGGGTGGGGGTTCGGCCTGCAGGGCCTTTGGCGGGCACCTCTCAGGCCCTAACCCAGCCGGTGCCAAAGGAGGCCAGGGGAGGACAGGGGGAGCGGAGGGGGACAGGTGGGGGGGACAAGAGGGGGAATGGAAGGGGGGACGGGGGAGGAGGTGAACCTACTTGAATCTGATGCTCCTCTACTTTCAGTTTCTTTGCCAGTATCTCCCGATGGTAGAAAGTGGGGTACCGGGTCTTGAGGAAGACCTTCTCCAGCTTTGCCTGCTGCTCCTTGGTGTAAACCGTGCGCTCCTGCCGGTGCTTCCGCGGGGTGCCCCGGGACTGGGGAGAGGGGCCCCGCCTGGGCTTGGAGGCGGCCTGGGGCCCGGGAGAGAGAGCTGGGCCGGCCAGTGCAGGCACTGGAGGCAGGAGGGGCGCAGCAGGGCCCGAAGGAAACTGGGGTCCCCCCAGTGCCTGAGGCTCTGGAGACACGGGGGCGGCCAAGGCCGTAGGCCCCGGCGCAGGCCCTTGGAAGCAGGGAGGAAGCCAGGGGCCTGGAAGCTCGGGGCCACCCAGGGCCGAGGTGGGGACATGGGGCCCCGAGAAGCCTGGGGCCAGGTAAGGGTCCGGGGCTGCGGGAGGCAAGGGTGGAAACTTGGGGTTCACTGGGAAGCCTGGAGGAGAGAGAGGAAACCAGTAGGGGGAGGTCAGGGGTGTCAGGGAGGATCAGGGGGGCAGCACACAGCAGGCCAGACCCTCCGACTCTCAACCAGCCCCTCTCTGGCCTCAGTGTTCCCATCTTTGAAATGGGCTTCAAAACCTCTTTAGCCCCAGGGCCCTAGTGGCTCACGCCTGTCATCCCAGCTACTCAGGAGGCTGAGACCTAAGGATAATGGTTCAAAGCCAGCCCTGGAAAAGTCGGTGAGACTCTTATCTCTAATAAACCACCAGAAAACTAGAAATGGCGCTGTGGCTCAAGTAGTAGCTTGAGCTTGAGCTGAAGAGCTTAGGGACAGCGCCCAGGCCCAGAGTTCAGGCCCCACGGCCCCACGGCCCCACGGCCCCACGGCCCCACGGCCCCACGGCCCCACGGCCCCACGGCCCCACGGCCCCACGGCCCCACGGCCCCACGGCCCCACGGCCCCACGGCCCCACGGCCCCACGGCCCCACGGCCCCACGGCCCCTCTGGGGTTTTTAGACCCTCTCCCCAGGGAGACCTCAGCACCCTCCTCACCAGAATGCCCTGGGTAGATGGGAGGGGGCAAGCTCCCCCACTCCCCCATTAAGGGCCCCAGGGACCCCTGAGATTTGCAGGACCAAGTGTTGGTCTGCTCAGCTTCTTTCCCCAAACTCCAGCGGGTCTCCCCCATCCTGCAGGGCAGGAAGCTCATGCATGGGGAGACATCTAGAAAGCACTCTCAGAAGCCTGGGCCACAGGATCGAATCCTGTCTCCCGCCCTGGGACAGCCTCCTAGTCCTCACTCACCTTGCAGATCATTGGAGTCTTGCATCCTGCCTGGAGCTTCTGGTCTCCAGCCTCCAGTGTCCAGACTCTGATCCTCCAGCCTCCTGCACCGAGATGGTCTACCCTAGTCCAGGTTTAAGACAACGCTTCTAATTGTGGGAGCTGGATATTTAACTCCTCTCCCTGGGCTATGCCTTCCCTCCCTCGACCCTCCCTATCCCAACCCACCCTGTAGACTCCACCCAGGACTAATTGTGACTTACCTGAGCCACTGTGACCACCCAGGAGCAGAGAGGTTTTGGGTGTGCAATGGGTTTAGTTTGGGTTTTTTGTTTTTTGTGGCTTTTTTTTTTTTTGCTTTGTTTTTTGTGCTGGTGACTTAAGAAATCCAAGTGTTTAAAGTCAGCCTGGGGCCGGCCCTCAGGGGTTCCCAGCCCTGGAGCAATGAGGGGTTCCATACAGGGCCCCCCACAGCCAGCCAGCCCACCCCTAGAGCACCCTACCTCCTTCCTAACGCAGGGACCCCCTCATCTCCCACATCTCCCCCACCTCCTTCCTGGATTCCCTTCCTGCTTTCCTCCCAGTGTGGACGGTGTGTTCAGCTTCTGTGTTGCTGGCATTGGTGGAGTGTTTGTTTTAATTTTTTTGGGGGGGGTCTGGTCTTGGGGCCTGAACTCTGGGCCTGGGCACTGTCCCTCAGCTCTTCAGCTCAAGGCTAGCGCTCTACCACTTGAGCCACAGCACCACTTCCGGCTTTTTTTTTCTTTAGCTTATGTGGTGCTGAGGAATCGAACCCAGGGCCTCATGCATGCAAGGAAAGCGCTCTACCACTGAGCCACCTTCCCAGCCCCAAGTGTTTGTTTTTATTATGCAGTGCTGTGGATCGAACCCCAAGCCCTGTGCACATGCTAGCTGAGTCTCTGGGGCCTTAGGGTTCCCCATCCTGGCTTCACCCCAGAGCTCAGGTCTGATGGGTCACACACCCCCTTGTGTGTTTGAAACTCTTCTGGTTTATCCATCAACCCCCTGAGTCTATTTCCATGAGTGCAGACTCTCTGAGTACAAAAACCCACCAGAGAACTGTCGCTTTGTGCCTGCGTCCATGCGTGGTTTAGTTGGGGGGGTGCTGGGGGGGAAGGAGGAATTCCATCAGACTCCATTCAATCCATAGAAGGTGGAAATGAAATAGGAAATCAAGTTGCCAATGACAGAGTCAGTGGCTCACACCTGTAATCCCAGCTACTCAGGAGACTGAGATCTTAAGGTCACACAGCTCGAAGCCAGACTGGGCAGGCAAGTCCATGAGACTCCTCTCCAACGACCCACCAAAAAGCCAGAAGTGGAGCTGTGGCTCAAGTGATAGAGCACCAGTTGCGAGTGAAAAAGTTCAGGCACAGCGCCCAGGCCCTGAGTTCAAGGCCCAGGACTAGCCCCAAACCAAACAACCCCCCTCAACGACAAGAAGGACAGACAACCCAGGGCACATGACCCGCAGGGACAAGCGCTTTCCTATTCACGCACACATTTTCTTTGACCTCTACCCACCGTGGTGTCCTTGTTTTTAGTAATCCCCTGAAAGCAGGGAGCCCAGCCTTTGGGAAGGACCAGACAAGGGTGAGGTGGTGAGGAGAGAAATTGGGGTGTCAGGGCCGGCTTTCTGGGAGCAGTGAACAAACCCCTCATTCCCAGAGGCCCCTTTCTGGATGTAGACTCGGCCTAGGTTGGCATCTTCCCTGTACACCCCCCCAACCTGGGCAGACTCTGGGGAAGTTTCTAGAACCCTCTTCCCCCCCACCCCTGCCTAAAAGGCTGTGTGTCCCTTTTCTCTGCTCCTAGGGGGACATCTTGTCCCCTCAGAGCGGCTGTCAGCCCCTCCTCAGGCTGATGAGAGCCACCCAGGCTGGGCACAGCCTTAATCCCTCCCAGCAGGAGGCTGGGTGCTGGGAGGGAGGAGGGGAGGGGAGGGAAAGGGGGGTTGGGAGACCCAGGGCCGGGACAGGGGGGATTATGGACGGCTGGGCCCATGTGGGTACCAGAAGCTCAGGGAGATATTAATAAATGTTAATTCAGAAAGACAGACAGACAGGGGAACAGACAGAAGGAAACCAAAGACAGGGGGGGAAGCAGGGGGTAGGGGGGGCTTACACAGACAGAAAGATAGCAAAGTGAAGGACTGACCAGCAGAGAGCTGGGGAGACACCAGAGTCAGACGGACAGACGGACAGATGGACAGAGACATAGGTGTATACACAATACACCGAAGACGGGAGAGGAGAGGAAGAGAAGGAGGAGGAAGAAGGAAATATTATGCCCAAAGACATAGAGACAGCAAAGTTAGGGATGAGACTGAGATCAAGGCAAAAGCAGGCCCAAAAAGGGAAACTGAGGTAGGCAGCGAGAACAATCAGGCTGTACATTGATGAATGTAAAGCCTTGTGCCCCTCTATTTTTTCAAACGATCTCTCACAATTCCCCCCTTCCCCCCACCTCACCCCACCCCACCCCCACACACACACACATTTCCCTCCTTCCTCTTGGATGCGTCCCTCTTGGGACAATAGCCAAAGCTGGAAGGACACCAGTTAGACACAAGGCAGGACTTCCCTGCCAGGGGGAGGAGGTGGAAGCCAGGGCTTCCCTTCCCCACCAACAATAATTGCCCAGATGTCCCAGGGAAAGGGAGGAGGGGATTAAGCGGAGGGGTGCCCCTCCCCTGAAGCCCAATGTCACCTCCTGGAGCCCAGTGGGGGGGGAGAGCCCCTACTTTGGCGGGGATTACCCTCCCCAATCCAGGCCATAGCAGATGACATCACTGCCCACGGAAGCTTAAATCCACCCTCGCACAGAGCTTGGCTTCCTCTGCTCCTGAGATCCCAAGGCTCTGGCCCAACAGGCATTGCCAACCTGTGCTTCTGAAGCAAAAGAGTCTTCTGGAAGGTAAGAGGGAGAAGGGGGGAGAAGCAGATCTTCTAGGGGACAGCATGAGGAGGGATTGAGGTTAGATGGAAGGGGGACTGGTCGCTGACACGCACGATGCTATGAAAACCCAAGGCTTTCTTCAGGCTGCAAAGACAGCTCCTATTCAAGTCATCTTCCTGTTGCGTTTCCTCCCTGCTTCCCTTTCTCCTTCCTTCCTTCCTCTCTTTCTTTCTGGCAGAACTGAGATTTGAACTCAGAGCTTCACACTTGCTAGGCAGACACTCTATCCCTTGAGTCTCTGCCCCTAGCCTGTGAAGCTTTTGGGTTTTGTTTGCTTTGTCTACCAGTCCTAGGGCTTGAACTCAGGGCCTGGGCACTGTCCCTGAGCTTCTTTTTGGCTCAAGGCTAGCGCTCCACCACTTGAACCACAGTGCCACTTCTGGCTTTTTCTATAATTAGTTGAAAATAAGAGTCTCAAGGACTTTTCCTGCCCAGGCTGGCTTGAGATCTCAGCCTCTTGAGTAGCTAGGATGACAAGTATACTTTCTCTTGCTTTTGTCCCAGGGCTGGCTTAGGATCTAGATTCTCCAACCTACACCTGCCATGTAGCTGGAACCACGAGTGTGCACCACCATACTCGACTTGTTGGTTGAGATGGCATCTCGCTATTTTTTATGTACTTATTTATTTGTCCTCAGGCTACTTTGATCCTCACTCTTCCAAATCGCTGCCTCCCAAGAGGCTGAGATTTCAGCCACCATGCTCGGCTTTGCAATTTTGTGCAGACTTCGCCCCTTACGAAACTGCAATTCTCTTCCCAGTGCCTGGCACGTGCTGGCTGGCATGTGCCAAATATTGGTTGACTCAAAGGATAGCTGAATGACAGAGATAGAATGGATAAACACGGGTGTCGTGGCCCATGTCTGTAATCCCATCATTTGGGGAAACTGAGGCAGGAAAATGCAGGGCTCCAGGAAAGCCTGGGCTAAATAAGACTCAAAAAAGAGGGAGAGAGAGAGAGAGGGAGGGGGGAGGGAGGGAGGGAGAGAGAGAGAGAGAAAGGGAGGGAAGGAAGGAAGGAAGAAAAGGAAGGAAGGAAGGAAGAAAAGGAAGGAAGGAAGGAAGAAGAACCAAGATTAAGTGGGATGGAATTCGTACATACAGGAGAGACCAAGGGCCTCTGGCTACTTCAGGAGAGATTAAGTGTGTGCACTACAGGACCAGCCAGGGGGTTTGTGAGAGGGTCATCTTGGAGTTAGCACATTGGGATGGATTCCTTAGCGTTCCTAGTACACCCAGGGGCTTTGATTTCCCATCTCCCATACCCTTTTCCCCCCCACCCCTGAGGGCAGAGCTGGAGGGATCTGGCCCAGGACTGACCTGGAACTACATGAGTCTCCTTTTAGTCCCTTTCTCTTAGTCTCTGTGTGACCTTGTGCCCTTCATGTGGCCTCTCTGGGCCTCAGTTTCCTCCTCTGAGACGTGCATCTCTGGGGCCTGGGGGGGGCAGAAAGGAAAGAATCTTAGGGTGAGGGGTGGTCAGAGCATCCAGGCTCAGACCTGGTTCTCCTCTGAGCCTCAGTTTCCCTGCCTGTAAGGGTGAAGCTCAGAGCAATTCTCTGCTGGGTTCTTGCTCTGTCCTGAGTCCTTGTCCCTAAACCCTTGGCAGTGACTCAGAGAGTGTCCCCGGATGAGGGGTGCTGTTCACAGACAGGTGTGACCATGGAAGCCCCACCTGCGAGGGGAACTGGTCACGTGGGACCCAGGACCCCTGGGGAGGCAGACACTGGGAACTCCAAGACACACACACACAGTGGTGAGCCAGGCAGGGACCAGAATATCTGTAGCTCTGTGTGTGTGTGTGAGTGTGAGTGTGAGTGTGAGTGTGTGTGTGACAGTTCTAGGGCTTGAACTCAAAGCCTAGGTGTTGTCTCTGTCCAGGCTGGTGCTCTACCACTTGAGCCACAGCTCCACTTCCCACTTTCTCTGGTGGCTCATTGGAGATAAGAGGCTCAACGACTTTCCTGCCTGGGCTAGCTTCAAACTGTGGTCCTCAGATCTCAGCCTCCTGAGGAGGTGGATGACAGGTGTCAGCGCCAGCGCCTGGCCTGAGCCTCTTGATGGCCC